AGCCCCTACGCTCCCCAATGCGTTTCATCCTTAATCCCTTAAGTGCAGTGAAACACATCAAGAGAGCGTGGCCTAGGGCTTTGAGAGACCCCCCAGGAACACACGAAGACACAAGGGTGCTCTCATTCCCTCTTTGAGTAGACTGGCCCTTTGGAAGCCACCATTGACATCTACGGTCGCATGTGTATTTGCACATTTCACATTTTTCTCCTGCTCACGTTTTCATATAAATAAATGAGAAGTTGTACGTCTTATCATTTACTAACGCTCTAATTTCCAGCACTGTCCATGTGCCTTTAATTCTTGGCATGTTTTTAATTAAAAAAAAAAAAAAAACCTTAAAAGGGGATTCCACATGTGTCTACAAAGTGTGTGGGGGGTACTTTTGTGGGCGGGGCTTAGCACAAACGGTGGAAGAAGAGCCTGTCCTGGCTCAGTGTACACATGTAGAGAAAGCAAGAAGAAAGTGTTGCACACCAGAGAAACAGCCTGCGTGTGTAAAGGAATCACAACAGTCTCCTCCCAGGCTACGCGCCCCAATGCGTTTCATCCTTAAGCGCCTGTGCGCGCCAGCGCGTTTCGTCCTTCAGCCCTTATGCGGAGTGAAACACATCAAGAGAGCGTGACCTGGGAAAGAGGGAGCTGGCTCTGAAGCCGTTTTGATTCGGGCCGTTTCTCTGGCGTGCGGCGCTTCCTTCTTGCTTTTCTCTACATCTTTATCGTAGCTTATCAGATTTAATTCACAATAAATGTTTAAACTTTCTAGATGGGTAAAAATTATTCCTGTTAAAAATAACAGCTTTGGATGCTTTAGAGGCTTGGCCCCCAACAGCCACCAGCGCTCTGTACCTATAGGGGTCCGTTGAAGGCTAGGTTCACATCTATGCAGGTTGCGTTTTTGCAACTGCATTTTTCTTTTTTTTTTCTTGTTGCTAGGCAGATTTAAAATTCAAAACGCAACAAAAATGCAGCAAAAACGCACTACATGCTTTTCTGCAGCGTTCCTATTGAAGTCTATGAAACCGCAAACGCAACTTTTTTGCGTTCAAAAAAAGTCACCTGACCCTTTCCACAAAAACGCACCGGGTGAAAACGCGGAGACGTGAACGTGTCCCATAGGAAATCATGCTAAATGGACTGTACTGCGTTTCTGCAAAACGCTGCAGAAAACGCTTAGGCGTGAACCTGAGAGTATCTCAAGCATTCCCTCAGCTGTCAGGAGTAGTCATGCATTTTGCCAAATATATTTATTTCTAATTATCGTCGGCTCCATCTAGTGGTCATAATGTGTGTTTTTTTTTCCTGAAATACTTCAATCAGGAAAATACCACATTATGGCCACTAGATGGAGCTGAATATTATAGGAAATAAATATATTAGACAAAATAGGGTTTATTACCAACTTTAATGAAGAGCTTTGGAAAACCTGTGTGAAAAGCTGACGATTGAAGCAGCCGTTTAATGCCTTTTGGGCTGCAGCATAAACATTTCCCATCGGCGGTTCAGCTTCACTGCTCTGGAAGCCCTGTGGGAGGGGCCAGAAAATTCCCAGACTCCGCCCGAGTCTTCTGATATGACTTAGAAAGGAGGGAGCTGGTTGGTCAATGTTAGTAACAGACAGTTCTTTTTTGAGGTTGGTGGTGGTGAGGCCCCGTGTGTCCAATGTACTAGGAGAAAAGGATTTTAAAGGGTCAGCTCATCCATTTCAGGTATATGTGGACCTCGGGGGGGCTTCTTATAAACCTTGGGGTGTCTCACTGCACCTGCTGCATTCCCCACAGGGATGGTGGGAACCCCTCATAATGGGTACAGCAAGGATACAGACCCGGGAACTCGGCACGGGGATGGTGGGAACCCCTCATAATGGGCACAGCGGGCGTACAGACCTGGGAACTTGGCACGGGGATGGTGGGAACCCCTCATAATGGGCACGGCGGGCGTACAGACCCGGGAACTCAGCACAGGGATGGTGGGAACCCCTCATAATGGGCACAGCAGGCATACAGACCCGGGAACACAGCACAGGGATGGTGGGAACCCCTCATAATGGGCAGCGGATTACCTTTAATACAACACAGCCTGTGGTCACATTGCATGCCTCCTGTTTATTCTGAGATGACAGCTGCAGCTCATAGATGATCAATGTATTTCACAGAGTGGGTTTGTTCTCAGGGGCGGACTGACAACTCATGTGTCCTTGCCCAAACTCAAAAGAGCCTATGAAAAAGGTACCAGGGGCATCTCATGGGGCCCCCTACTGACCCCAGTCCCTCGGGCAGTGCCCGAGTTTCCAAATGGTCAGTTTGCCCGTTTATTCTCCTCCACTTTGGTAGTGTAGCTGTAAACTTCGAGGACAACTCCTCCCAATCCACCAAAGAGAGAACCTGTACTGACCTCCGAGTCTGCTGCTCCCCGGGACTGTGCCAGACACCAGGGTAGTACAAGGAGCCTGAAACCAATTACCAGCCCTGTCCGTTCTGCTGACTCCGCCTCCTACCTGCTTTAGGACTACCAGTAATCATGGCCACACCGGTAAGACCCACTGAAGGACCTCCTCTTCCTTCCCATCAGCCTGATTTCAGCTGGTGAGCAGATTCGGGGACTTCTTTAAGTCATAATGGGTGTGTGTGCGTTGACGCTACACAATCTTTATTGGCACCGATCAGCCAACCCTCTATGACCACCCACCTAATATTGAGTAGGTGCCCCTTTTGCCACCAAAACAGCCCTCACCCGTCAAGGCATGGAGACCTCTCAAGGTACGTTGTGGTATGTGGCATCAAGCCGTCAGTAGCGGTTCCTCTAAGTCTTCTAAGTTGGGACCTCCATGTATCGGACTTTGTTTTTCTGGATTGGATTGAGATCTGGAGAATTTGGAGGCCAAATCAACACCTCTAAGTTGTCGTTATGTTCCTCAAAACCATTCTTGAACCTTTTTTTGCAGTGTGGTAGGGCGCATGATCTTGCTGAAAGAGGCCCCTGCCATCGGGGAATACTGTTTCCATGAAGGGGTGTTAGTTGACCACCTACCGGAACATGGTTGGTGACCAAATGGTCACCAACCATGTTCAGGTAGGTGGTTAAGTAACATCCACATGAATGGCAGGAGCCAAGGTCTCCCAGCAGAACACGGCCCAAAGCATCAAACTGTCCTCTTCCTATACAGAATCCTGGTGTCTTCTCTTCCTCAGGTAAGGGACCCACCCGACCATCCACATCAGACCAGGCCACCTTCCATCGCTCCGTGGTCCAGTTCTGATGCTCACATGCCCATGGTAGGTGCTTTTTGGGGTCAGCATGGGCACCCTGACCGGTCTGCAGCTACGCAGCCCCCATACACAACCAACTGCGCTGACTGTTTTTTCTGCTGTCAAAACCTCAACTTCAGGGACAACATGTTCACTTGCCGTCTAATATATCCCACTGACAGTCACAAGCCATTGTAAGATTATTTATTTATTATTTACCACCCCCACACACACCCCACCACACACCAGACTCCCCCCCCACCACCACACACACACACACACAAAAACCACACACAGACACCCCACAACCCACAACATACACAAACACCCCCCACCCCACCACACATACAACCCCCCCCACACCCCCCCCACACACAGACCCCACCACATACACCATACCACAAAAACACCCCCCCCCCACTATTCTCACTCCTCCAGAGTTGTGTGCCACTAATACAGGAGGTGTGTTTCTGGCCACATCACCAGGTGAAAAAAAGAGGGGAAAAAAGAAAAGAAAACAAATGCAGCCGTCACATCTATTAATTGGTAAGCTGAAATATATTACATTTTTTTATTTTTATTTTTAATATCATCGTAAAGTATAACTAAAGGCAAAACTTTTTTTTTTTTTATAGTTTTGGATGGAGTGGGCAGGGACTAGAACCCCGATCAGGTCTGATTGCCGCCTGTGCCCCCGAAAGGGAGATTCCCCCTCTCTATTTGTCCCGTTTACCATTATCATTGAAAGTAAAAGAAATCCCAAAATTTGGGTTGTCCCCAAAAAAGTAATAAAGGGGAAATCTTCCAATGGGGACACTAGTTCTGGTGACTTGGTTGGGGGGGGGGGGGGGGGGGGGGGTCAAGGAATTCCCTTAATTTGCAGGGATATCCTCTCCCTTCCTGTTTTGCTATGGGACAGGAAGTGAAGGGAATTCCCCCGACGGGGACACAGATGCCAAACATAAAAAACTGCTCTATCCAAAATAAAAAAAAATAAAAAAACTGCTCTATCCAAAAAAAAAAATGCCTGTAGTCCTACTTTAATAACCCTTCTGTAATCACTGTAATCAGGATCTCAGCGAATACTTACCTGAACCCGATCTCGATCCAGTGCGCTCTGTCTGACAGCAGCACCTCTCACTCTCCTCACAGGACACAGAGGCTGCAGCAGGAGCCATTGGCTCCTGTTGCTGTCAATCAACTCCTATGACGAGGGTGGAGGCAGGGCAAAGTCAAGCTGTCTGTGTCTATGGACGCAGGCAGCGCAGCTCGAGACTGAGCTCACACTAGTGCCCCCATAGGAAGTGGCTTACTATAGGGGCACTAGCTGTAAAAGGAGAAGCCCGGGGGACCCCAGAAGAGGAGGTTTGGGGCTGCTCTGTATGACCTGTTTGTTATTTGGGGGGGAGGAAGTATACATATGATGAAGACAACATTTTTACATGCATGTGTCAGGAGGGGAAAATGGTGACCAAACAGCAGAAGAACATGGTGTCACGCTCAGTATTGGAAAAATGTCCCCACTAAGCCCAGCTGTAGAATATCATGTCTGTGGGGCCCTGAATGGTCTATCCCATCTAATAGCCAGCAAAGGATTTCCACTATAAACTGAGCCTCTGAGTGTGACACCTCCTGGGACTTTGTAGACACAAAGAACGACCTTGGCTCAGGGTTTTCCCACAAGTTGTAGAATCCTTTCTAGGGCGCACATGGTGGCTCCTCCACATCGCTCCCCCGTGTAGCTCGTTTCACATGAGCCTTTAAGGCCATTTGGCTTGAGAAACACTTCCCACACCTGGTGCAAGCGTAGGGCTTCACCCCCGAGTGGACCCTCTGGTGACGCACCAGGTCTGAGTTGCTGACGAAACGTTTGTCGCATTCGAAGCAGGTGAAGAGCTTCTCCCTCATTCCAGAGTGGACTGTCTGGTGTCGGATGAGGTTGGAATTTACTGATGAATCTCCGTCCGCAGTCGGAACAGGAATAGGGTCGTTCCCCCGTGTGAGTCCTCATGTGGCGGACCAGGTCGGAGTTAATAGAGAAGCTCTTCTCACACTCGGAGCAGGTGTAGGGTTTCTCTCCCGTGTGGACCCGGTTGTGCTTGACCAAGTTGGACTTGGTGCTGAAGGACCTGCCGCACTCGGAGCAGGGATAGGGCCGCTCACCTGTGTGGCTCCGTTGGTGCATATCAATCTCAAACTTGCTGATGAAACATTTTCCGCACTCTGAGCAGGAGAAGGGCTTCTCTCCCGAGTGAATGCGCTGGTGCTTGAGCAAGCCAGACTTGTTAAAGAAGTTTTTACCACACTCGGGGCAAGAGTTCACCTTGACCCCTGTGTGCAGGCGAATGTGCTTAGTAAGACTTTTGGTGCTGCTGTAATGCTTCCCACACTCTAGGCAAGGATATGGCTTCTCCACCATTCGACTCTGCACTCCGATGGTGGACGCCACAATATCCGTGTGTGGCAGGTGACCAGCCGCCATCTCTGTTGGTGCATCTGCATGACCACTACTCTCCCACGATTCCTCCTTAACTGTAGCAACTGAGCTGGTGGAAAAGTCACACAATTGGAGATGTCCATTGGTTGACCGTGTTTTGTCTTTCACATGAAGCATCTCCTGTGTCTGTTCTGAACTATCAATGCCTAGATCACCTTCTTCCTCTTTCATTTTAACAAATATGTATTGAGTATGGTCTACAGAGGTGGAGACATCACAGGAAGACTCATGTGGTCCTTGAGGCACCACCTCTTTGAATGGTGAAGATGTATGACGAGTAGCACCTGATGGTTTGGAAAAGTCATTGCGTGGTTGATGTTCTTCATACAAGGTCAACGTCTCACAGTCCTGCTCTGGACAAAGGGACATGAGTTGTTCCTCTGCTAAGGTGGACCTGGTGATCTGGGAGTTAACAGTGACACCATGATTTTCCTTCTTATGACCCAGTGAGGGAGACATAGAAGAATTGTATCCACCAGTTAGCAAATCTGTTGGAAAGAGAGAATAATGCTGAGGGAATGGAAGTATCCAGATAATAATACATGTATCAGAGAAGAAAAGGATTTGGTGATGAAGAACGTTTCAGGATAAGAAGCTCACGGCATGGTCCAACAACAAGATGCTTAGAGCAGAAGAGAAGAGGCCATTGTAGGGGCGCTCTAATTTGAGGGATAATGTCACCACTGACAGGAGGTGTATATGGAGGCATGAAAGGTCAAGAAGACCTTCTTGTTTATATAATCACTTATCTTACCCAGGAGGGTGATGGAATGAAGGTTCTTCATGGAGACATCCCTCGTCAGATCCCTCTGACCTTCAAAATATCGATCCTGCAGGAGGAAACAGTGACATCCTGACATCTTATAGGAACCTGACACACACAATGATACAGTCACCATCCAGACACATCCCTTGTCTGTTATTGGAGAATGTCCCAGAATTCCCGGCACCACCACTCACCTCTCCTGTCAGCAGGTCGACGATCTTCTGGGTGACTTTTAGGATCTTCTTGTCAATGTTTCTCTCTGGTGTCAATGAGGGAAGTAGAGGCTCCATGGTGGGGCTCTGCTTTCTGCTCAATTCATTGATGAAAGTCTTCTTTACCACGACATAGTCCTGTGGAATAAGCGGCACAGTCATAGATATCCAATGACAGGAAAACATTTCCAGAATCCTCCCCACCTCTCCGGTCAGGTCTGTGTTTTATTAATGGAGATAAGAGTGACGTCATGTGACCTCCCAGAATCCTCCTCACCTCTCCGGTCAAGTCTGTATTTTATTAATAGAGATCAGAGCGATGTCATGTGACCTCCCAGAATCCTCCTCACCTCTCCGGTCAGGTCTGTGTTTTATTAATAGAGATAAGAGTGATGTCATGTGACCTCCCAGAATCCTCCTCATGTCTCCAGTCAGGTCTGTGTTTTATTAACGGAGATACGAGTGATGTCATGTGAGCTCCTAGAATCCTCCTCACCTCTCCGGTCAGTAAGTAGAGAATCTCCAGAGTGAGGTGTAATACCCTCTCCGCCCTGTTTCTTCTGTCCTCATCCATCCTCGGGGACACAGTCACATTCTTAGTGGAGGTCTTGCTCTACCACCACCGTCTTTGCCGCCATGGTTTGGCCCAACCTTGGAGTAAAGCATACATCAGATGAGTGGACATCCTGTAGACTTTGGTTGGTGGGCATCACCAAGACCACCCCACCCCCCCTCCGACTTGCTCTGAATGTTAGCCCACAGCACATCCACTGGACCCAATCCCCCTAGGCTCAATATCAAGATATGTTTGCGTGATCGTGCCTGGAAGACAATGGAGCCACCACTGTCCCATTAGCTATCGATCTGAACCAGGGGCGGACTGACAACTCATGGGGCCCCCGGGCAATAGGGGATTATGGGGCCCCTGTGTCCTCGCCCACACTCAAACCACACCCAAAAAAGCATATGAAAGGTACCAGGAGCATCTCATGGGGCCCTTTACTGACCCCGGGCCCTTGGGCAGTGCCCGAGTTTCCCAATGGTCAGTCCGCCCCTGATCTGAACACTGCCCGGACTAGTGGTACTCAGCAACCCTCGGCCATGATTGCTACACAGTGCTGTGAAAAAGTAATTGCCCCCTTCCCTAATTCCTCTTGTTATTGCCGATACTTAGATTTCATTGCAATACTTTGAGAACATCCAAAACCCAAGATCCCTATACACACGTAGCATCATATTACCAGATCCTATACCCTTTGTACACACAATGACGTCTTTTACATCATTTTAGTTACAAGTATTTAATATCACATCTACCCACAGATCTAACAATACCCATCCCCCATATCTATAGGTTATACATTCATTATCCCATACCTCTCTGTACAATGTTTACTCTCTGAAAGCAACAAAGTAACAAAAGTCATTACCTGCTGCCAGTTGCAGCAATGGCTCCTCCCTTACTTCCTGTGCATGCATGCCTGATTACCTTCCTTCCTAGTGTTCTCTACCTGTCCTCAATGGTGCCACAGCACAGTCACTGCTACACAAAGAACAAGTCTTAATAATAAAATAATTACACCCTCCTTGTTCATAAGCAATGCATTCTTGGAGTTGTAGTGCTGGGACTTGCTTGAAGCTTCCTATGTTTTGACTGTATCTGGCAGAGGGATTGCCTAAAAGGCGGAACTTTACAGACGGGATCGGGGGCAGGGGGATAGGTTTAGGAAAGGCACATCATGCCGATGAAACGCACTAAGGAAGACTTTGAAACGTATACACAGGAAATACTGATAATGCGGTGACTTCTCTCCTTTTACCGAGGTCATACAACCAATGAAGGCCGTACATGACTTTTATACATTTTTAGTTTATATATGTAATGTATGATTATTCTTAAATATAAGTACATGCACGATGCCACACTTCCGGTTTGTGTGTTCCTAAGGGAGCTGTTGTGAGTTCCACTAACCGGATGTCGCTGTGGAGGACACGCCCTCAGGACTAAGACGTGTAGACGATGGAATGCACAACCCGGAAGCCTTTGGAACGCATAACCAGAAAATACATAAAAAATTAAAACAGTGCTTGAATTACTGAGGATATGAGACCATACGCTTAATTCATTTATCGATTTGATTTTTTTTTTTTTTAAATAATACATTTATTATCATTTTTTAATTATAATAAAAAAATGCACAAATAATGATCAATTAACTATGATTGTAAATTATAATTAATACTATCATTGATATATGTAATGTGTAATTATTCCTAGATAAATGTAATGATTAAAATTGATCATTTTAATTATCAATTTGATATTTAATTTTGAAAAATGTAATTACACATTTATTATAATTTTTATATTACAATATAAATGCAAGATTATTACCTATATTATCATTATGATATTGTATCATAATTAATAGTAATGTGTGTGTCTATCTATCTATCTATCTATCTATCTATCTATCTATCTATCTATCTATCTCACTATCTCACTATTAATTATGATACAATATCATAATGATAATATAGGTAATAATCTTGCATTTTATATTATAATATAACAATTATATACCGTATTTTTCGCTCCATAAGACGCACTTTTTCCCCCCCCAAAAAAGGGGGGAAAATGTCAGTGCGTCTTATGGAGCGAATATAAAGCGGCCGGTCCGGTATTTTTGCGGCCACCATGTCAGAATACCGGGCCGGCCGCTCAGCTCTTCTCTCCTGCAGGGCCTTACCTGTTCCTCGCTCCAGCGCTGCACAGTCTTCCCGCTCTGGCTTCTGTGACTGTCTGCAGTCTCTGGTCATTCCCTGCACTGTCTGCAGTCTCTGGTCATTCCTTGTACTGTCCGCAGTCTCTGGTCATCCCCTGCACTGTGTCCGCAGTCTCTGGTCATCTCCTGCACTGTGTCTGCAGTCTCTGGTGATCTCCTGCACTGTGTCCGCAGTCTCTGGTCATCCCCTGTACTATGTCCGCAGTCTCTGGTCATCTCCTGCACTGTGTCCACAGTCTCTGGTCATCCCCTGTACTATGTCCGCCGTCTCTAGTCATCTCCTGTACTATGTCCGCAGTCTCTGGTCATCCCCTGTACTATGTCCGCAGTCTCCTGGTCATCCCCTGTACTTTGTCCGCAGTCTCTGTCATCTCCTGTACTATGTCCGCAGTCTCTGGTCATCTCCTGTACTGTGTCCGCAGTCTGTGGTCATCCCCTGTACTGTGTCTGCAGTCCATTGGTTCAGAATATTTTTTTTTTCTTGTTTTTCACCTCTAAAACCTAGGTGCGTCTTATGGTCAGGTGCGTCTTATGGAGCGAAAAAAATACGGTATAATGTGTGTGTGTAATTATTCCTAGATAAATGTAATAAAGTTGATAATATTTACATTTTTAAATATAATTATACATTTATTATTGTTATAATAAAATACTTTAATTACGGTTGATTTACTATCATAAAATTATTATAATTATCATTGATATATATGTAATGTGTAATTATTCCTAGATAAATGTAATAATTAAAATTGATCATTTTAATTATCAATTTGCTATTTAATTTTGAAAAATGTAAATATACATTTATTATAATTTTTATTTTATAATAAAAATGCAAGATTATCTGTTAACTATATTATCATTATGATATTGTACCATAATTAATAGTGATATAATGTGTGTGTATATGTATATATGTGTGTATATATATATATATATATATATATATATATAATGTGTGTGTAATTTATTCCTAGATAAATGTAATAAAGTTGATAATTTTATCAATTTGATAATTATGTTTTTAAATGTAATTGTACATTTATTATTATTGTTATAATAAAATAATTAATTACAATTGATTTACTATAATACAATTATTATAATCACTGATACTACTGCGTATAATGACTCACTGTCAGCTGCCTTAGACTCCTTAGCACCCCTAACCACACATAGCATTAGACCCCGACCGCTTCAACCCTGGCAGAACGACCACACTAAAAATCTTAAACGACGCAGTCGCGCACTGGAACAATTATTGTGCAAAACCAAATCCCCTCGAGCGCTCTCCCTCTACAAATCCGCCTTCCTCACCTACTCCTCCTCCCTCCACGCCGCCAAACAAGCCTACTTCGTAACCCTCATCAACATCCTCTCCACCTGTCCTCGCCAGCTCTTCTCCACAGACTCAAAGCTGTCCTTTCAACCCCATGTCCAATCATTGGCAAACTCATGCAGGCTCCACCTCTGCAAAATCTCCAAAATACGTTTGTTCCTAACGCCAGACACTACTAAAAAACAACTCGTTCACTCCCTTGTTATCTCATGTCTGGACTACTGCAACTCCCTTCTCACCGGCCTACATCATCGCAGACTATCCCCGCTTTAGTCTATGCTGAACTCAGTGGCCAGACTCATCCACCTTACCAACCGCTCCGCTTCTGCCACCCCCCTCTGTCATTCCCTCCACTGGCTCCCGATTGCCCAACGCATTAAATTCAAACTACTAACACAGACATACGAAGCCATTCATAATGCTGTCCAAAAACTACCTCACCGACCTGATACCCAAATACCACCCAACCCGTAATCTTCGCTCCTCACAAGACCTCCTACTTTCTACCTCCCTGGTCTTCACCCCCCACACCCGACTGCAGGACTTCTCCAGGACTTCCCCCATCCTCTGGAACTCACTACCGCAATCCATCAGACTGTCACCTACCCTCCTCACCTTTAGGTGCACCCTGAAAAACCCATCTCTTCAGGGAAACCCCCTACCCCGCCCTCACCTAACAGCCGCTCTCCTCCACTCCTCCCACCACTCCATCCCCCACAGCCACTTTCTCCTGTACCACTCTCCCCTCCCTCCTAGATTGTAAGCTCGAAAGAGCAGGGCCCTTGAATCCCTCGTGTTCTGTTTTGTTACTGTATTGTCTCATGTACTGTCCCCAACTACAACGTACAGCGCTGAGCAAACCTTTTAGCGCTATATAAATACTGTATAATAATAATAATATATGTAATGTGTAATTATTCCTAGATACATGTAATAATTAAAATTGACAATTTTAATTATCAATTTGATATTTAATTTTTTTAAAATGTAATTATGCATTTATTATAATTTGTATGTTATAATAAAAATGCAAGATTATCTGTTAACTATATTGTCATTATGATATTGTACCATAATTAATAGTGATATAATGTGTGTGTGTGTATATGTGTATATATATATTTATAAGTATATATATATATATATATATATATATATATATATACACAATGTGTGTGTGTAATTATTCCTAGATAAATGTACTAAAGTTGATAATTTTATCAGTTTGATAATATTTACGTTTTTAAATGTAATTGTACATTTATTGTTATAACAAAATACATTATTACGATTGATTTACTATAATACAATTATTATAATTATCATTGACATAGGTAATGTGTAATTATTCCTAGATAAATGTAATAATTAAAATTGATAATTTTAATTATCAATTTGATATTTAATTTTGAAAAATGTAAATATACATTTATTATAATTTTATGTATGTTAT